GCCATTTGGCGGTCTAAAATGAGAATTTGACATATTTACATCGTATTCTCAAATACTTTATAAAAATTATAATAATAAGTACAAATTTTGTGTACATTTATATGGTTTCCATACCAATGTTTACACGTTAGACGTCTACGCGGCGCTCACGCGCTTTGATATTTCGGCTCCAAATCAGCTACGCTGCGCGGTGGTTGATTAAAAATGTTCAAAATTTCTCAAAAATCTGATTTTTTCAAAGTTTTTTTTTTAATAATTTGATTTTGGTGCGGGAAGTTTATATATATATATATATATATATATATGTATATATATATATATATATATATGCAAAAAACATTTTTTTAAGTGATTTTTTTCCGACTAGTCAAACATCAATGTCAGTAAAGGTATATTCAACCAGGCGTAGTTTTCTAGTCTTTTGAAAAATATTAGTGAAATCGATTCGATTATTAAATTTCCAGAAATCAAACATTAAATTACATTTTAATACATGCAGCAACTGAAGATGATAAATAATGATCTCTAAAAGAAAATAATAATTTTATTCTTCTCTCTGTGCAAAAATATAATGAATTTATTAATATTCATTTCATGTTTCTCTTTATTCCATGCAATCTGATGCTATACATTCAGTTAATTTAAAAAAAATAGGTATTTTTTACCTATAATTACCATACCATAATTACCTACTATGAAAATGATCATACGTCCTGGTTTGACCGGGATAGTCTCGGATTCACCTTGTGTCCCGGGTTTCTACATACTTCCCGGATTTAGATCTTTTGTCCACGATTTAGATCTTTTGTCCCGGATTTAGATCTTTTGACCCGGATTGTCTGGCTTTTCGAGAAGTATAGGTTTAAATTGAATCTTTGCAATTACAATTACCCATAAAATATCCGGAGACAACATATATGAAGCAATAGGTTATTAATGAGAATATTTCCCAATGCAAAATACCAAAAGATAGTTAAAATAGTATTTCAATATTTATAATTTTGAACTTTTATTTTCAATTATACGAATGTTAGCAAAAACTATGAATACTGCCACTATTGCTAATTTTTACTAATTTTAAGTTAATTATAAAAAAAAATGCACAGAATTTCACACAAGGCTTAAAAGCAAAGAAAAATTATAGATAAAAAATATGATATATAACATATAATCGAATAATAAAGTTCTATCAAAAGTTAGTATTTCTGATTAAAAAATATAAATTGGTTTAATAAAGAATGATTTTTATTATATCCTTATAGTATTTGTTTTTTTTTTTTAATCATATTTAAGTTATTTAGCCTCCTTCGTCGTTCCCATTATGGCTTTAAAAAATATAGATACATTACGAATATTTTCAAACTTGTCATTCGCGGCTATTTTTGAAATCCAAAAAATGTTTGACGTTGCCCGGCCTGCTACTACATGTGAGAATCATGTGAAATGACAAACGATGCTTAAATTTTATAACTGTGGCAGCCTTTGCTTGTCCTGTCAAATAGTAGATTTTGATTTGTTTTAACTGTGATAATCCATAGTGCAAATATTTTACATAATTTGTTTTTTTTAATTTTTTATATCAAAATATTTTTATTAAAATGTCTCAAGAAGCAGGCGATAAAGTAGTGCCATCGTCGGAAGAAAATGATTTAAATGAACTGTTGGACAGTAAGTTATGCAATTCATGCTGAAATTTGTATATTTTGTTTAATTTATTTAAGTTATGTCATTTGATTTGACTTAAAAATATTTTTTGCAAATGCTCAGCGGCATTAGAAGATTTTGAGAAAGTTGCCAAACCCGCGGAACAGCCAGCTAAAGATGACAAAGAAAAACAAGAGCTACCTATTGCAGGAAATCCTGAAATCACTCCAGAAAATATGTGGTCACAGGAATTCATAAAGTAAATCGTTAATATTATTAAAAGTAAAAATCACTTTAATTTATGTTTTTTTATAAATTCATATTCGTATTATGCAATCAATTCCAATGTTGGTTTATTCTTATTCTGTCATAAGTCAAGAATCAATTTTTATCATAAATCATTTTTTATTCACAAGTACATTAACTAGTGCGATTATTTTATATTTTTCAAATTAATTTAATATTGCCTGTCATGCAAGGTGCATTTCAATCTAATAATTCGATAATACATATAAATTCTATGATAGTTTGGTATTTATGACATTCCCAATAATTTTTAAATATTTTGATAGGAAAGCGGCTGAACAATTTGAAAGTCACATGGCTGATATTTTTGGAGCTGCAGGCGTAAGCCCTATGTCTACTGAAGAATTTGATAACAGTATCAAACAAAAATTGGCAGGTAAATGAATTATAAATAATTTATTGTAAAAAAGGCAAGATATAAAAGTCTTATTTATTTATTGTAATGGTATTAAGTTATACACTATTTGCAGAGGCAGCGGCATTTACAATGCAGCCAGAAAATATTGCAAATATGCCACCAGTAGACAGTGAATTTGCACATACTATTGCTGAAACATTGAAGGTAATTTATATTGAAAATTTAATTTAAACAATATTACTTAAATTGTTATTTGAATATTGCTCAAACTCACAATTCAATTCAATCATTGTCTTTCTGATAATTATTTAAATAATATTTTCCAGGGTCTTAATGCGGGTGCTGAAATTTGCAAATGCCATTTTCGCCTGAAGACTTGGTTTCTATGTTTGGAACTTTGGGTACTGAGGATGGGGTATGTTGTTCTATCTGTCACAAAATGAATAAATAATAATTATTAATATTTGTATATTGTTTTAGATTGCAGACAATGGCTTTATACCAGTAATGCAGACCATGATGCAGAGCTTACTCAGTCCGGAAGTTTTACTGCCTAGCATGGAAGATTTGAAGACGAAGTACCCTAAATGGATTGAAGAACATAAAGACAGCACATCAGCTGAAGATTTAGAGAGGTTATACTTATATTCTTGAAATAATATTGTAATGTAATAAGTGTTTTTAATTTAATGTTGCAGGTATCAAAAACAACTCGACCTAATTAATGAGGTATGTGAAGAACTTGTAAAAGAGCAACCAGAAGATGCGCCTGAAGTAAAGAAGGAAAGATTTCTTAAAGTTTTCGACCTCATGCAAAAGGTAAATTTCAGATCAGATTTCTAAATTGTATAAATAATTATATTGTAAGCATATATAATACAGTTAATTACATATATCTATTTATTTCAGATGCAAGAATTAGGTCACCCTCCTGTTGAATTAGTAGGTGATTTCAATTTACCTCAAGAATTCGATCAAAGCCAAATGTCTCAGACGATGGACCCTTCTCAATGTAGTATTATGTAGAACTCGAAAAACATATTTTTTTTTTATAGAATTTTAACTTTGTAAAGTAAACTTTTTTTTGTAAATATTTGCACAATCACAAACCAAACTATTTATTGTTAATTTCAAAATTGCTGGATATTGTATATATATAAATTTGAACTATACTTTATGAAGTTAAAATTTATCTAAATTTATGGTGATTTCCCAAAAAGCATTTGCTATTTGTTATGTATATATTTGTTAGCACATTTTTTTTGTAAAATTCAGTTAAACAATGCCAATGTATTTATTTTAAAAGTTTGTATACAAAGATTTTTTATAACTATTGTGAAACTTGTATTTTATATAATTAATGTGTTTTATAATAACTTATTGACTTTATTAATATATACATTGACAAAAAATGCTGTTGGCTTAATGTACTTTGTTGTTTATACACTTATATAATTATATTTAATATATGTTATATTATTATCATTATTTACATATGTACTATAAGATCTTACTTTTAGAGCTCCGTTGAGCAAATGAAATGTCGTGCCCTATTTTTATACAGTCACTCAATTGTCTTATCTGGTGGGGCTATATATTATGTTAAATTCATATTTATATGAAGATTAACTGAACTCCAACATTAACATGTGATCATCATACAGGATTAAGATTTATGCGAGCCATTCATTTTGGAAGTTAAGTCCATTTCTATTAAATTGAATTTGCATTTTGGAGAGAGTTAAATTTATAATTCCTATCAAGTATATAATATGCTATTTAAATTTCTATTGTAATAATTTTTTATTCTTCTGTTTGTATAACTTAAATAATCGATCTTTGACTTCTGAAATTAGCACAATATAATAAATTTTTCAGCATTATTTATTTATAAATTTACATTAATAGGTATATGTGTAGGATTTACATTAATATCTTTTACAGAAATGAGGTATGAGAAAGATTCGGGTGTTCAAGAGATGATGAACAACATTATAAAAGACTATCATATGAATATATACTTATATGCAAAAAAAGTTGATGTAGATTATATCTGGTTGATCAGGTGGAAGGCCAACACCAACAACAATTTAATCTTTATTGATAAGTAAGTTAATTTATTTATTATCAACTATTACTGACATTACTAAAAGCTTCTTTATGAAAAAAAGTAAAGTAAAGTAAAGTAAAGTAGTTATTATTCTCAACTCAGATTATTATGGAAATTTTCCATAATGATACAGTAGTGCTTTATGAACCACAATTAAATTTAAAATACAGTAACTTACAATATAATATTGAATAATAGGGGATGTTTTAATACAATGTATAGATTTATGTATTGCTGTCTCTGACATTATACATATTAAATAGCAAAATTATCCGCCTTAAATTATTATTACATATAATTATGATGTTAATATCGACAATATATTTAATAATTTAATAGTGATTATAAATATATCTAAATTTTTTTTTTAATTTCTTTTAAATGTAATCTTTCAAATAAAACGAATTTGAAATTTTGCGACTTTGGCGCCACAATTTTGTATATGAAGTTATGTCAAATCTATCTAACCTTCAAAATGGCTGCGACGTTTCTTCAAGAGTTTTTATGATTGAAAAGTGCTAATTGTTGTTTATATTATTATCAATTTACCTTTTTTATTTAAAATTTCATTCCTTGTGTTTATTTTAGAGTTATATATATATTTAGGCATATATAATATTTTCTAATATAATATATGAAGGTATTTATTTTGATCAAATATATAGAGATGCTGCTTTATTGTACTTCTATATAACTTAATAATTTTGTTAATTTTATTTTAGACAAGCTAAAAATGAACCAAAAGAAGTCTTTCCGAATAAATATTAAGCAGAATGTTCCACCGGGACAGCGGTCCCATGATCCTGTAAACAGGACAATAAAGCCTGAAGAAGTTGTCGTAGTAAGATCAAAGGGTATGCTTCATAAAATAATGTAATAAGACAGCATTCAATGTCATAATGTACAAATATTTATTTATTACTATACCATATCGAAAGCAAGATGTGTGATTTATCTCACAATAGTCATATATTTTGTTTACATAAATTTTCACAAATTATTTGAGAAAATTTGTGATAAGCTCCTTCAAATATTTTGGCTGCAAAAATTGAATTAAATGTAAGAGGTTATGATTTTCAATTGTAAATATTGCAACAGATACTTTATTCTTGCTTACGATATCATGTTTATAAATCTCCTTTTCTTTATTAATGTGTGTTATTGGAATATGTAGAAATATATCAATCAAAATCCACATAACATATTCTCAACAAATATTCTATCAACCTAAAAATATAAATATAATAAAAATGTGAAAGAATCTGCAATCAACAATCAACAACAAATGACAATGAGAACAACTAAAATGGAGGGAACAAGTTTTTAAGGTGAGCGTTTATTTATTATTATTATTATTATTATTTATTATATATATATATATATATATATATGTGTGTGTGTGTGTAATCTACTTATTTATGATTTATTTGATTTGTTTTTAATATTACTATATATATTGTATTAGAAATAATATTTTTTTTCATCTGTAGTCGAAGGAATTCAAGAAGACATTGTAAAATTCTTCAATCAACACTCAACTCTCAACAGCACGTTTCTACAATCAACATCAATATCTACAATCAACAAGTATTCTTCATAGTGTGAAGGTACAGATGTAAATAATTATTTGTTTTATAATTAGTATAGTGAAAATTGGTGTTAGTTTATGCTAAATTATTATGTTTAGTTTAATGCATATCGGTTACTAAAGCTTTTTATATACTGTGTTATTGTTCAAAGAAAATTGTGTTTTAAATATACATATCGTTTCAACCGATTCAACTTTATTAAAGAACATCTTGAAGTGATTTCAATATATAAGAAGACAAAAGGACCGACAAGCAACAAAGTTACCTTAATATATGTTCTAAAATACATATCTACATGTTTTTGATATTTAATTAGAATCTTAATTTTAGTTATTAAAAGTAATATTCATATTTTATTATAATAAAATTAACAATTCGAAAACAGGTGAGGGATCAAAACCGTTATTTTCACGTGACAACATTGTTGTAAATCAAGATTTTAACAGCAGTGATTCTGATGATGCTAAGTATAAAGTTAGTTTTGTTTTTATATTTAAATTATATACAAATATTGAATAAATGTTTAACCACTGAGCAATTTTAGCGAAGCAAATATGAAAATGAAAGACAGAATTCAAAGAATTACAGAAGAAGGAACTCGTCATCTAGGTCGCCCTCAGTAGATGTTGATTATAAACATAAATCAAAAACTTTAGTGAGACATAAAAGGTTAATACAAGTTTTAAAAAATTATTTAAGTAAGTTTATTAGTAACTAAAAAGGATCTTCTTTCAGACGTTCCAGATCTCTCTCTCCTGAAAATAGTGCAATTAAGAAACATTATCTTAAAGAAAAAAGTCCTTATTATGTTGATGAACAACGGGAAAAGGATAGAATTGCTAGGAAATATGATAGGTAAGTTATTGTTCACTAAAAATTATAATAAATAATTCTTAAGTGTGTATGTTTGAGTATATTAAAAGACTTAAAATTTATAAGTTGTAATAAACTTGCGTCTATTGTTAGTGTGTGTGTGTGGGTTTTTTTTATGTTAACTTTGATTGATAAATTTATAGAGAAAATGGTTTATGAATCGTGTGATGTCTTTTGTATGTATTTTTATTTATTTTATTAACTTCCCGAAGGAGAAGTTTATGTTTTCAATCAAAAAATCCGATTCGCTAATTTTATGTTTTCTCGACGTTTCAAGCCATTCTGAATTGAATGAGACCAAATTTGGAAAAAGTATGTGTGTGTGTGTGTGTGAACAGATTTTTTGCCGTAAATCGACGTTTTCTCCAAAAACGGCTGGACCGATTTCTAAAATTTAAAAGCCATTTGATGTATCTTGATGAGGACTATCGTTTCTGAGTTTTGTGCGGCGATCGGCCGGGCCGTTTCTTTGTAAATTGCAGAAAAGTGAAAAAATTTTCGTCCACGTTTTAGCCCGCAATTCTGAATCGATTCTGAAAATTCAAAAACCATTCGATTGATATTTGTTGGGAATCGTGCTGATTAGTCTTTGGTAAAGATCGGCCGGGCCGTTTTCTTGTAATAAAGTTTAAAAAAATAAAATTCGACGATTTTTATGATTTTTTTTTTGACGGTAGATACCATAGTTTTCTAGGTCATACTAAAATATTACGGCCCTACGACAACTCGTTTAGCTTTACAAATTCGTCAAAGTTTGCAAAAATTGGTATCGTTTTATTGACATTTGTCAAATGAAGTCTTTGATCGAAGTTTTCTCAAAAACGCCTTAACCGATTTCAGAAATTTAAAAGCCATTTGATGTATTTCGGTGAGGACTATCGTTTGTCAGTTTTGTGCGACGATCTGCCAAGCCGTTTCTTTATAATTTGAAAAAAAGTGTTAAACTTTTCGTCCACATTTAAGCTCATCCTACCGAATCGATTTTAAAAAATCAAAAACTATTCGAAAGATATTAGTTCGTTAGTGTAAACTGATTACTTTTAGGTAAAAAAAGTAATTAGATGTCTTTTTTATGTATTTTTATTTATTTTATTTATTTAAAATACCAACCGTACTAAATTTATGTTCATCATATAACCATTTTTAGAAGAAAAACAAGATCTAGGTCCAGGTCTCCTTCTCGAGGCAATTATCGCCGTAGTCGAGGTTCTGAAAGAAGGAGTAGGTCACTCGATAATAGAAGAGCATCTCATAAAAGGACTAGATCACCAACTAGAAAAAGAACTCCTGAGGAAGAGGATTCTTATTATGTAGATCCTCAAAGAGAGAAAGATAGGTTACGGGAAGAAAGAAAACGTTATGAGAAGTAATTATTCTTAAACAGTATTAATAACACAATATAATAATCTTAGTGCTTATAATTATATAATTTTTTTTCATAATTTTTTTTTTCAGAATTCTAAAGGAGATTCGATCAAAATCTCATTATAGGTATCCCTCTAGGTAAATAATTTCAACCTTTATTCAATTTATTTGTTGTTTTATAGAAATTAATAAATAATTTCTTTTATTCATTTAATTATCAGATCTCCGTCAAGAAAGTATGTAGAAAGTGAAAGTAGGTATCGATATAGGAGGTCCAGGACGAGATCAATTTCAAGATCAAGAGGAAGTCGATCTTATGATAGGGATTGGAGCGTGATGAGATATGAAAGGATAAGAGAACGACCACCTTATGTAGAACCTTCATATCCTGCTCCTCATGGTTACCATGGTTACAGAGAGGTAAAATTCGATTTAAAACGTTTTTCAAGGAAACGCTTAATTTATATTTATGCACATGAGATATTGGCTGACATCTGTTTTCTTATGTAATATATTAAATGCAACTACAATGGTACCCCGACATGCGATCGTTTCGAGATACGAGCCGCCAAGGGAGCAATTCGTTGCTTCGAAATGCAAGCAAAATTTGAGATACGAACTTAGAGAGTAAAGACCAAAATATCTATTGCCAGAAAAGGTTCATAAAAATCGTCAAAAAATATGTTCAAAAGGTAATTTCAAGAAAACGGCTCGGTAAATTTTTACCTTAAACTAATTAATCAGTATCATTCCCAACCAATATCTTTCGAGCGGTTTTTAAATTCCCAAAATTGATTCAGAATTGCGGACTAAAACTTGGACGAAAATTTTTTCACTGCTATTTACAAAGAAACGGCTTGGCTGATCGTCGCGCAAAATTGATAAACGCTAGTACTCATCGAGATATATCGAATGGCTTTTAAATTTTTGAAATCGGTGTAGCCGTTTTTGAGAAAACGGCGAATTACGGCAAAAAATCTGTTCACACACACACATACTTTTTTCAAATTTGGTCTCATTCGATTCAGAACGGCTTGAAACGTCGACAAAACATAAAATTAGCGAATCGGATTTATTGATGAGAACATAAACTTCTCCTTTGGGAAGTTACTTATTATATAGTAACTTTATTTAAACCAACGTGCTGCAACGAATTTCAATGTATTTATATGTGAAAAATCGCTTTTAGATGCGAGCGACTCGACATACGAGCGTAGTTAAGAATCAATCTCGTATGTCGGGGTACCACTAACAAATAATTCCTCAATGCATAATTTACTAACATCGAATTAGACATAACATTTCTGAAAGTGGGCAAAGATGATGTGTGAATGGTACATGTAAAAAAACTTGAATTTATTCTGATAGGAATTATACTGCCAGCCAATGGCGCCTATGATTATGCCCCCTTACTCGTTACCGAGGATGGCAGCTCCTCCGAGATACATGCCAGCTCATGCTTCTGGTTATGGGCATCCGCCTTTAAGGTCTAGTTATTATCCATCCTCTCGATCTAGTTTATATCATGTGCAACCATCTAGGTATCCCTACAGTAAGTATTTAAAATTGTACTTTTTTGAGTTTATTTCGAGTCGCGGATATTCAGTTAAACTCAGCAGTGTTGTGACTCTTCTCGGGATTGAAATAAATAAAGATGGAAAGCTTTGGTGATTGATTAATTCGTGTGCAGATAAAGTCAACCCATGAAAATAAATCGGTTTAAATATGATATGTATAAATTACAATTTGCGTTAATATCGTCAAGAGAGTCACTTCTTATATCGAATATTGTCTACTATTAATGGTTCTATTAACGTGAGCATTGACATTATAATCTTTAATACTAATAAATGTTAATACATATAATATTAATTATATTATTGTAATTTTACAGGGCCCATTTGATGAGAAACTGCGTAATGACTATTGTTCTGGTATGAAATTAATTTATGATTCAATAAATAAAGAATGGACTGAAAATTATCAGCTGCTTTGATAACATTCTGATGTAATTAGAATATTTGTATATTTTTTGTATTATAATTTATATGTATTTCGCATTAGTTTAATTTCTTATAATATATGTGCGTTCCGTTAACAAAATATATATTTATTCTATTAGGTTGTTTGGCGAGTAATTCTTTCCCGCAGGATTTAATTACATATAATTTTAATACCCAATTTTACATTTTTTTGCATAGTTATTTTATTCTTTTAGAACTGATATAGCTATGACTGTGTATTTAAAATCGTTTTTAGTATTTTTAGTTTGAAGTCGAACAATAAGCAGTATCTTTAGAGTACTTTGCAACTTTACTCTAACAATGAGATGGGTAATCGTACCAGAAAGATAGTACCTATTGTACAATAGGCAATAGTTTTTTATGTCAAAAATATGAGATGTAATAGCTTAATGCTTTATGTATACCAGATATTTATTTATTTAACTACTTGCATCCACTTGAAAACCAATAGATTAAAAAAAAAACTTCAGGCAAGCAAAAATTATTTTGAAAAATTCAATTATTGGAAGTCTGTATATTAATATAGTCTTGTGGCTAGAACGCGCTCCTAACTCTTGAACTCTTCGAATTCAATGAACAAAAAATTTTGAACAGTTCGAATCCATCCAGCATATGATTTTTTTTTCGTACTTTTTCTCACAGGTCTATAATATTTCAATGCAAAGTTTCATCAAATTATTAGATGAGTAAACATTAATATTTTGTACGTCGATATTCAAATGCAGTAGAGCCTCGTTTATGCGGATTCGCGATTATCCGGACTACCAACCGCGACTAATTTATATGTATGTACATATGTACTTACAATTCGGATTTTTGCGGGATATATGCTTTAGTTTAGTATACGTATGTAATGTATATACTTAATCTGAGAAAAAAATATATGTACATACATAAGGAAGTTTCAATTTTTTGATAAAGATTATTTTCGTTTCTATCTATGTATGTATTTTTTATTTTTAATAAATACACAACATTATTCTTCATAATTCGATTATCCGAATGCCTATCGACAACAATTAGTCCGGTTATTCAAAGTTCTACTGTATATGAACTGGTTGAAAGTGGCATTTTGCTTTAGGGCAATTTACATGAACTTACGTAAATATTCGATTTAATATAATTCTTATTTATTAAGAACTGGGATTTAGCTATTTAGATAAAATTTACAAATATTTATTTCAAAAATGAAGTTTTAGCTTCAACTAAAATCTAATCGATGCGATTTCCAATTGATATTATTCTGACTAAAGTTATGATATATGTAATCGTTTTAATTAAATTAAATTCATTTATCAGATACTTGGTGTTCTTCGTGTCAACGGTGATCAGTATAACGCGATATACACTGTGTATGTCGTGAAAGCGCACCCATTATTTTAAAGTTTAAACATTTTTATAATTAAATCACTTTAATCGTCATTATACAAAGTTTCATCAATATTGTCAAAAAAATTCAACAAGAAACGACCCAGCCGATCGTTATCAAAAACTAATCAGCATGATTCTCAACTGATATCTTTTGGACAATTTTTATATTTTCAAAATTAAGGATATTTTTTGCAAAAACGTTGAATTTTTTTTTTTTGTTAATTCTAATAAAACGGCTCGACCGATCGTATCGCAGAACTAATCTACGATAGTCCTTAACACGTTGATAGACACGATATTATAAAAAGAAAATTCATCTGGGCCATGGGAACTTCATTACCATTACCATTGAAAATGTACCACTGAAAAAAAAAATCTGGAAAAACACTATTTTTTATGTCACATATATATGACTGACATGGCCCTATATGGGTCATGTAGATTTTTTTAACGTCAGGCAGCGAAATGTTGAATTTTGGTTTACATACACACACATACTTTTTCCAATTTTGGTATCAAACGATTCAGAATGCCTTCAAACGTTGAGAGAAATTAAAAATAGCAGATCGGATTTATTGGCGAGAGCATTAACTTCTCCTTCACACGCGTATACTTTTTCCAATTTTAGTATCATATGATTCAGAATGACTTGAAACGTAGAGAGAACTTAAAATTAGCAGATCGTTTTTTTGGCGAAAGCACTAACTTCTTCAGGAATTTTAAAACTATTAGAAATAGAATTACTTACAAACGGAACCCCCCTAAAATTAGAACCCCGTTAAGTCAATCGTTTCTAATACAAATTATTGCATAAAACGCCACTTGACGTTGGTTTCTATCCCGCATAATATGCCACTCTACGTCTGTTTCCATCCCGCATAATACGCCACTTTTCGTCGATTACTATCTAGCATTACACACCACTTTACGTAGATTTGTATACCGCATAGAACGCGTTTTTGGTCCGGTTCTTAGGAAATCTTAACGGGGATTTACTGTACATATATTTACATTATTAAAAAAACATTTTCACACGAATTAACACTCATCAATATTTTTTTACTTGTTTTTTACTTATTTAAACCAAATCAACTATCAAATCATTCACCCATTCGCACTGCCAAATTCAACTGAATTCTCTTCCACCAAATCGTACGTGAAAAAATGTTGGTGATGCTCGTAACGAAATCGCGTACATGCCTCATCGTTTTCATGTTGTGAGTCTTAAAAACCTTTTGACCCGTTTTTGCATATATTTGTTATTCGTGTCTAAACGCTTAGTTGCAAAAATTTATTATTAGCAACAGCTAAGTCAGCGAAAAATGTCAGAAATATAAACAATTTCATAACACATACACTACTTGCGGTCTGAGGTAAGAGGTGGGCAGAACACAACATTATAGTAGAGAACACTCTGGGAGAATTAGTGTTCATTCTATTCTCTATACTTTTAATTTTTTTTTTATGAACTATTAAATCTGAATTAGACTTTTTTTATTTTTGTTTTTTAACTTTCAGAAGGAGAAAGAGTTTGTTTTCGCCAGAAAAACCGAATTTCTAATTTATACGACGTTTGAAGTCATTCTTAATCGATTGACTCCAAATTAGGGAATAATATCTGGGTCAAAATTTGAATTCTTGTCAATGTTTCTCCAAAAACGACTTGCACCGATTTCAAAAATTTAAAATCTATTTGAAGAACTCAACCGATTTCAAGCTTCTAAAATCTATTTGAAGAACTCAACCGATTTCAAACTTCTAAAATTTACTTGATGAAACTCAATAAGGACTGGAGTTGATTCGCTTTCCAAGATGATGGACCAAGTTGTTTTTTTTAGAACTTGCAGAAATTTTTTTGTCAACGTTTTCTCAAAAATGACTGCACCGATTTCAAACATTTAAAATCTATTTGATGAAACTCAATGAGGACTAGTGTTGATTCGTTTTTTGAGATGATCGACCAAGTTGTTGCAGAAAACTTGCAGAATTTTTTTGACAATGTTCTTGCAAAAATTACTCAAATCGGCATGGCAATTTCTTCCCAATTAATATTAACTAGCAAATTGAATTGTTGAATTTTCAAAGTTGAATTTTCTTCAGCATTTTGAAGAATATTTGTACGATAACGAAGCAGAATTGAATCTATTAAATAAATTAGTTTAATTTATATAATTACAGAATTTATATAGGTTTGTTTCCATATCGAATATTATCAGAGTATCGCATTGACTAGTTTTTAGTGAAAGCGAAATCTTATTCGTAATAAATAGTTTAAATTTTCATCTAAATAGATTATTAAGTCAAGACAAGGCAAAATACCACTTACAACTATTTTTTTATATTTTTAATAGCAATTGGAACCTAACGAGTTCTGTGTCCTATTGTCGTCACTTTTTATACGAATATAGATGGTAACCCGAACGGTTATCCTATATTTTTGTGATAAATTTATTACTTGAATTTCTATAACACTGAGTGAGATTTTTTTTACTGATGCAGAAATGCCCTCGAAAGGCTATTTTCACTTGGAAACACATCGTTATCTATATTTTTGTCTATATCTATCGTTATCTATATTTATATCTAAATCTACATCTATATCTATAACCGTAATTAATTCTGCTTGATATCAGACTGCCCAAGGCAGGTAACGGTCGGACTTTTGATTGGAAGTGCATGGCTCTGAACACTAGGCTACGGAAAAGGCTTAAGTTTCGGAAAGTTATGAATTGTCATAGAAATGTTATAAATTATGTTAATTTCCAAAAACCATGATTTTTTTTTCGCTTTTCTAAAAATCAAAGTTTTTTTTAAGACAAAAGACATGGTTTATCTATAAGTCGTGCCATTTTCTATGTTATGTTTTTTTTTTGCAAAATTAGATTTTTTGAGATATCAATTGCTAACTGACAATATTTTTCTAAAAGCTACAGGATATTTAAACGTTCTTTAATTTTAACCCTTTTCACTCAATTCCGAGATTTATATGAATTTTGCCGCTGGACCGAGTGGAAAGGGTAAAAAACAGTGATTACAAAAATATAAAGAAGTAGTATAAGCCTAAATTAAGGTTACTTTGCAATTTGTTTTAAATGAGATTTTTTTTTTTTAGCTTTTTTAGAATCAAACTTTTTTTTATTATTTTTAATCATCACCAATCACAGACATTAATATAATATTAATACTTTGGGAGGATTATTATTTATTTAAATAAATCTGTTAATTTCAACGAATTAATTATTCTATTCTTATTTTATTCTTACCGAGTTTGAATTGAATCTAAAAATTTTATCGTTATGAATTATTTATATAATCATAGCCAAGTCTAGAACGTTTTAAAAACAAATTCTGATTGATTTTAAAACAAAACTAAATTACGTTTAAATACTTTATGATTTCTCGCGACAGAAAATTATAATTTATTGAATTATCGAACGATCTCGAAATAAAACCGTTCAGCAGGAAATATAATTCATTTTTATAAATATATGACGCAAAATATATAATAAATTTAATCATTAGTCATTTCGTAGATTGGTAGGTGAATATAGGTACATATTTTTTTATTAATTGATTATTTTAACTAAAA